AAAAAAAAAAAAAAAAAAAGTAGAGTACAAATTATTCTAGTCAAACATGGAAGCATATGGAGGCACCCAGTGTTGAGAGCACTCGAACAGCTTTTGATAGACTCAAACACATACTGCCCAGAAATAAAAATGCAGTTCATGAAAGATAATGTTTGGAAAAAGAGTTAATCAAATTTTGTTTTAATACAGAAAGTAATCAGGAAGCCAAAATCCATAAGTTTTGGAAGATAAAATAGTTAGCTATTAACGCCAGGCACTTAACATATGTGATTTCACTTCATCCTTGCAGCTTCCTTGCAAGATGGAAAGGTATTATCTCCATACTGGAGAGAGGGAACTCGAGTTCAGAAAGGGTCAGTAACTTGCCCATAGTCACACCGCCAATGAAACAGTTGAGCTGGATTCCAAGGCCAGGCTCCTAATTTTCCACTTAAAATATTTGGTCTCAAAGCCAAGAACTGATGCAGAAAATTCAGTGTCTAAAGAAGCTTAATTTACTTGTATCATGTTAGCAGTACTGAAATGGAAGTTAATAAGGGCACAGGGAACAACTCATTTAGCCCCTGACATGAAAAAATTGAGAACTGCTCCTGAAAATGATTGGCCCAGGAAATGCTATGGTTAAAGTAGCAAAAGGATTTGCCCATGGATATAGTGAGAGAAGTCTTTGAATTAAAGATCAGGTGACTATTTCTATTTGATACAATATGACATTTTCCCTTAAAACAGTCTAAATGTTCTAGTTAAGCAACATTTTATCACACTGCCTGCATAAACCACGGCCTCTAGGCTTCTCTCCATGAAATGGTCACTACAGTCGTTTGTAACACTTTGACAAAGCTTACTTATCAAGAAACATTTTTAAAAATCATCAGTTTACAAGGTAAAGATTAATTTATTTTTATGCTGATTACACTGATGGCCTCTTCAATGTTCTGGGTGGGGGTGAGAGGAAGCTGGCAGGTGGAATACAGGATCCCAGGTGACCGGGCCTAAACGAATGGTCAGCTTAGGCAGGAGTAAAGTGCATTAGAAAATATGTGTAATCACTTTTACATTCTTAGAGCGGTATTTCCATCTAGAAAATGGAAACTTACTGATTAAGAAGAAGAACCAAATGCAGTACATGGGTATTAGGGACTTTATGGAAAACACGAGAATGCTCTGCCTACTGGACATCTAAACAAATTTACCAATTTTCTTAGGAAATGATATTCTTCATAAGTGTTTCGAAGGTAAACTTCAAGGCAGCAGGATCAAAAACCAACAAACGTTTAATCAGTGTACGTGTAATGAAAGCCTCGTGGCCTCTGTATTTTCTGACTGCTACAATCAGCCGCCCTGCCTGAGGGCAACAGAGGCCTAACTTACAACTTGCTCTCTCTCTCCCTGACGTAGGAAACCACTGGCATCGTGATATCTATTTCAGCATCACCACATATGCTGTGTAGTTTGGTTTAAGTCCACTATTAAACTCAGTGTTAGCAGTGATTCACATATATTTACACAGTGTTTCCAACAGAAAGATTTTGTTCAGTTTAGAGTCCGGAACTTCAGATGGAAGGCGGAATAATAAAACTGAAACAGTGTCAAAAAACACTATGAGGTTTTTTCTCAAGATGATTCATTTCCCTTTAAACCAACTCTATTTTGCTTTATCTTGCCTTTCAAGACCCCAGTGAATCATTATGAGAACGCCTTTACGTCCTAGGCACTTTTCTCCCCAAACCTTCTTTCTAGAATTTAGTCCTATTTTTCTAGGTCAAACTATTTTCCCTAATTATTTCTGATAAAGTAATTATAGAATCTTAACGAATGTAAATGTAATTGAAAATAAAATCTATAAGTGAGTATTCCTTTGGCTTAAAAATACTTTTAAGGAAAAAAGAAAGAAAGAAAGAAAGAAAAACACGGGTGGGGCACAATGCAATGAATCCCTAGATTTCAAACAGTATGTGTGTGCACGTGTGTGTAGTAACTATACAGACTCAACATGGGCATATGTGTCGCATAATTTATTTTTTTGCCATGTATATGATGAGGGTGATAAATGTACAAACACTAAGTAGTTGGACTGTGCAGGTTCATGCAGATTTATATTCTGACACAACACATGGTGTCTACTTTTACCTATTCCTGCAGCTTTCTTAATAACAGATATGATAAATAAATAATAGAGGGTTTATTTTAAACAGCTGCCTGAGTATTTAGCTAAGGGACTTCGTCTGGCCTCTGAAATCCAAGCCAAAGAAAATTAATGTTAAAGAAAGGACCAGGGGAAATCCCTGTAGGTGAAGTTACAACAGGAGCCAGGAAACTGAAGAATTAGGACAGATGTTTTATCCAATAAATATCAAACACTGATGTGCAGCTCCGAAAGTGAAATCTCCTTGGCATTCAAAACAGAACGGGAGCTCTTTTTCCCAACCATGCACTGGCACCATCGCAAAACCAATGCCAGGATTTTATACCCTGGAATCCCCACTAGACGGCCTGCTCTTTCCTGGGTGGACAAACTGAAGATGAGGGGGAAATGTTAGAGGTATAGAAATACGATTTCCGTCTACACACCGCTTTCCTGCCCCGACTGGGAAAACCAAAAACAGAGTTCAAGGCTAATTTGCTGCTTTTAAATTTGAACAGTTAACGGGAGTCTCAGGATTTGCCGCTCATCTACCTCAGCTCTCACCCTCAGATTCCCAGAGCCTCCAGATTCCCAGAATGTCCTCCAGAACATTCTGCTGAGAAAGCTCGGGAGCAAAGCGGGTGGAGGGCCGCAGGCCGTCAGGGGACGGGCGCGGAGGCGGGAGACGCGGGGACTGTTCCCGCAAGGCTGCGCCTCGGCCTCTCCTCGGCCGCCGGGCGGCCGCACTCTCCCCGCTTCTCCGTTCACCGTCCACCTTGAAAGGTGACCCAGCGGGTCAGGAGTCATGGTTTTAAAGTCGAGTGCCAGAGAGAAGGTAGGGTGGCATTCCCCCCCATCCAGCTGCAAGGGGGCTTTGCTCTTTAACCTGAGACACAAAGAAGGGAGGAATCCGAATACAGTCTTGGCCCTGTCCCTCCTTCAGGCTCGCATCTTGGTCGCCTCCCCAACTCCCGCCCTCTCCGGTCCAGCCCACAGAGACCCTGTGGTATTTCCTGAACACATATACTTGCTGTATTTCTTGCAATTGCTCTGACTGTCCCTCTTCCAAGTACCCTTTCGCCATCTCTCTGCCTAGCAAACTCATTTTTTTTAAATTAAAGTTATTCAGGTAACACTGGTTAATAACATTATATAAATGTCAGATGTACAACTTTATAATACAACATCTGTACACTCTAGCCTGAAGTCTAGTTTCCTTCTGTCCCTTGTATTTCACCCCCTTTACCCTCTTCATTCTCTCTCCATCACCCTCTCCTCTGGTAACCACCATTCTGTTGTATCTATGAGGGTTTTCTGGTGGGCTTTTTGTTGTT